CCCTTCCTCCACTGATAGACAAAATGATTGCCTTTTAATTAGCAGGCCAGATTCCCAGCAGCACTGAGGCCTACATTTGTTCACAGCTTTAACTCATATTTTATTAGGCCTGAAAGATAACTGTAAAAGGAATGGTTTATATTTGTAGTCATGTGAGTAGCTGATAGATAGGACCCCAACAGAAAGTACTCAAGAGTATGTAGCACAGTTCCTATGCCATAGATCCATAGGTTTTGCAGGATCGGTAAAGCTTATTTTTGGGTGAAGGATAAACAGCTTCCCTTGGGCATGTTGTTTTTTAACGTAGTTTCTTAGCCATTACCACTGTGGAAAGGCCTGGGTTTCCATTCTCCCACACCAATGCAAAGAGTGTGCTGAATGCATAAGTAGTGCTAATATTTGCATTTGATCAACTTTCCATGTACTGTGAACTTTGTACTGGTGCTAGTGAGGGCACAGCATGTAACCTGGTTCCAGGGGTGCAGCACTGAGCACTGTATACACTTTCTTCAGTTACAGTAAGGGGCAAGAGGGAAAGATGGATGTGACATTCAGGTTCTTCTTCCCTCTCCTGCAGACAAATTCATTAGCCCCAGATGAAGCACTGTCCATACATAATGAATGAAATAATAACGACAGCCAGATTGAGTCCTCCAGCTTTTCACTGGTCAGGGAGGGACATGACACAACGTGGTTCTGTTTTCTAATATCAGGGTGTTTGCTTCATTTTCCCCTAGCAGAATTTGCAGATATTCACTGGAATCTGACAGGCACCTTGAGTGCTTCTGCTATGGCCTTGAAATTGTGACCTCTGGGCTATCAACCATGTGTCATAGCACCCTTGGCACCCAGCCTCCCTCCCGCTTTGATTATATGTCATTATGCACTGGGAAGATGCAAGGTAGAGTGAGATGGTTTTGCCAGGTAGCAACGTGACCTTTCTGGAAGCAAACTGTCAGGAGCCAAGGAGGGCAGTGCCCCTGTGGAAACAAAATGGAAAGCCCCGGTGGCTGGAAATTAATTTGCTTTGGTTAATTAATTAATTAATTTGCCTGGAAGTAGAAATCAAAGTAACCTAATAGAGGCAAACTGGCTTGTAAAAAAGAGATGTGCCCTAGAGGCATGGCTGCATAGGTCTGACTCTTGCTGGCTCTCTCCTGCTTAGATTTGGCTTAGGCATTCTGATCAAGGACTTCGTTTGCCGTATTTCAGTTGACTGCTAAATGTCATTGTGTTTGAGAGAGGCTTCCTGCTTGATTTCATTCCTTCCCTGAAACAGGGGAAGTGCCCCATTAGGAGCTGAGCTAATTAGCCATCACTGGTGGAGCAGTGAAGAAGCCAAAAGGGAGCTAGGATTCCTAGTACATGGCCATTGCAGCCTGTTTGGGTGAGAGCAGGAATAGCATTTAGGGAAATGAAGTGGGGTCCTTGTGCTTCTCTAATACATCACTGGATCTGCTGCCTTGGCTCAGTGGATTAAGGCTAGGATCCATAGTCACTCCCCCTTTAATGCCTCACCTAATGAATAGCATCCCTGTCTGTACAGCATACATCTTATTCCCCCTTTAAGCCAGTACTGTGTATTCATGCGAGGCCTGGACCTGAGCCCGTGGCTTGTTATAAGGCCAGAAACAAGACTGCTACCAACTGAGCACTTACAACTTTAGGGTAATAAGCATTGAACTCCAGATACAAATAAGTACAGTCCTTTCCTCTGCAAACTTTATCAAAGTATCAGATACAGTGCACCAGTCTTCCAGACTGTTATTTGTACTTCTTATTGGCCCAGACAAAAGAACACTAGTTCCCGAGATGCCAGCTGCATTGAACATATATCTCTTTTATAGCTGCCTGCCATTGCAGTTGAAGAACATAGACTTGCACTTTGCAAATGTGGACTATGGACACATTTTGGATTTTTTTCCTCTTTATACTTGTTTACCAGGGCATCGAAAAGAATTGGTTTCTATTTGCATATATTTATAAAATATACAAGTAAAGGATGCAAATAAAGATTAGACTGGATTAATTTGTCTTTAAAATAGTGTGAAAGACAAGGAATTCATAGGGCAATGTGTTCTCTTAACTATGTAGTTGGTCCAGTAAAAGAGATCACTGTAAGAAATCCTTGCCTTTTACATAATGGACCATCACAGTAATAACTTCACTGTAACACTCTCTAAAGTAACAAAACAACTTATAATGCTCTTCAAATAAAAAGGGAATGGACTAATAGATCTAGTTTCAGCAAGTAAATGCCCATTGGATTGCCAAATACTGAAGTGCACTTCATTGCCTCAAAGTTGCAGCGAGTCAGAAATGTGTCGACATAATGTTTTCCCATCATCAAATGTTGGTTTGTCCAAGTCAGAGCTTTATGGTGGTTCCATATTGAAAAGAAAACAAATATCCAAGCCTCAAGATTCCTCGCAAAATGTGATTCATATTTCATGCCCAACTCTACTTGTAGGCCACAGGTTTTAGTTTTCAGCTCAGTAAGTCAAAACTTGCTGGAAGGACTGAACTCTTATACCAGGACCTACTTTCTAGGAATAGGCATGCTCAGTGAGACCCACACTGTGACGGGAAGACTGTGAGGTGAAAAGAGTACGTTTATGTGATTGACCGATTGAGTGCCGTGCGAAACGGTGGCGTGCTATGCGCACGAGTGCAGGAGCATGTGCACAAGCGTATGATTGCTTCTGTCAACAATTGACAGAGATGGTGTGACTGGATTGTATAAATGGGATCCCATTCCCAAACTTGGTGCCTGAGTAGGATTGAATGGTATGGTGAGTGTGCTCAAGTGGGGTGCTTGAGTGTGTGCTCAAGTCGGTGTGAAGGTGTAATCATGCATGTGAGGGTGTGGGACATTAAAGGTCTGTGAGACACGGGTTTGTAAGAAGGTGATGTTTGTTAGTTTTTTGTGTATGTGGAGTGAGAGCCTGGGAGGCCAAGGTCTCCGTTGCATTGTGTGTATGTGGAGTGAGAGTTGGGGGAGACCAAGGTCTCCATTGTGTTGTGCGTATGTGGAGTGAGGACCGGGGGGCAGGGGAGGCAAGATCTTCATTGTGTTGTGCATGTGTGGAGTGAGAACTGGGGGAGACCAAGATCTCCGTTGTGTTGTGCATTTGTGCTGGGGGGGCAGGTGCGGGCAAGAGCTCTGTGTACGTGTAAGTGGTGCCTGTGGGAAGGGAGAGCATGAGATCGCTCTATCGCCGCCTGTGTCTTGGTATCTTGTGCTAGTTGATTTGTTGGTATACCTTGTATTTGGTATCTTGTATTTGGAAGTGTATCTTGTTGTGTATAGAGTTGATTAATTGTTTATTCATATACCATTTCTTTGAACCATGACTGAAGTGTCTGTAGTTATTGGCCCATTTGCCAGTCTTGGGCTGGTTAGAGTTTAGCTACCCACCACCCTTTCAACTACAGCAGAGGGGCCTGGAGGATTAATGACCCACCCCTGTACCCACATGTGGGGTCTCAGGGCCCTCCTTCTACAGACTCGCATTCTTTTAATGTACCAGTATTTATCCTAAGACCACTTCTGTGGAGCTCTATTAACCCCTATTTTACAGATATTGCATGTGGCACAACAGACCAAGTCGCTTGCCTAAGGCCACAGAGAGAATCTATAATCAAAGCTATATTCAAAGTTTCAAACCAGTACTTTAACCTCTGGACAATCCTTTCACTTCCATCAATATGTTGTGTTCCTTCAGTCTGATTAATTTTACCAGCCTCCTCTTTTGCTCTCGACATTTTTGCTTACTAGTGCCAAAAATGCATACTTTGCATATTTTGGCTTCTTTTTCCATATTCTTGCATTCATGACATAGACGTACTGTATCCCCAGCTATCTGATTTTCTCTAGGTGATTACTCAGGATTTCATATTCAGCTGTTCTCAAAAGGAGAAAGTGAGGCCAATAAAAAAGTAACAAATAAAATTGTGCTCCCACTCATGTATAAGCCTGATGCTGGAATTCATGGGTGAAAATCTGTGGTCTTGTGTTATGTAGACTAGATGATTATAATGGTCTCTTCTGGCTTTAAAATCTATGAATCTATGAAGAGTTGAACGGCACTTAAAGCCACTTGAAGGATTAGAGTTGACACCCACAAGGGCTTTTCTGTCTTCGGCTTGCTATCCAAACATCAAGTGGTCCACGAAGATGTTTGCAGTCTAAAAATGCTGCAGTAAGGAGTACAAGTGGAGTGAGATCCTGCCTCAGTGTAAGCCAGAGAAGCCAAGGGAATTAGGCTGAATTCGACCAGCCAACAATTCTGGCCCAGCATGCTGTGTCTACTCCACGAGGTAGACAGCACGCACCTTGGAGAAAGACACACTCTGTGATAAATTGTTCCTGAGAATGAAAACGGTGTTTAACTTAATCTAGTTTCACGAAAAAGCAACAGCTGATGACAGCCAGCCAGTCAGGGCACATTGCAGATGTTGTTTTTCATGGCTGTAATCTAATGTCATCGTTTTTGCAGAAGTGAAATTAAAAATCTTCAGTGCTTTGTGGTGAAGACAGACAGATGCCTTCCTGCTTTAATTCCTGAGTGGCCATAACATGTTCGCTGACATTTCAACTTGATGTTTTAATTGGCTTATTTGAATAAAACTCAGACAGGTTATGTTGCTCAGTTTTATTTTGTGTCTCCCAGCCCAGCAGCCAACAAAAAGAAGACAGCAGGACAAGGAGGGGCAGTGACTTTTCACCTCTCCAATTCTCCCAGTGTTTTGTTTAGCTCTTAATGTATTTAAATTCATGCCTTGTTAAATTATAAACTGCATCCTGCCGGGATTAAAGTCAGCCAGGGTGCTCCAGAGAAGGGTCCCCCTACCTTCCTCCCATTTTTTCAGGAAAATGTTCTCTTTCAGGGTTGGGGAGGGTGTTTTAATGTAGTTATGCCATTCCTCCAGGTTGCAGCAAAAGACACCTGAACAACATGCTGTTGTACCTGCCGTGAGAGTCTCATACCATTTGTAAAACACAGAGGGCAGATCCTGTGCTGCGATGGGGGCACCTCACCTCAAGTGATATCCCAAACTGGAAAGCATCAGCCTCATTACATGTTGCTTGGCTGTACTTTATTGTGTCTGCAGTGGTTTTACTAGCAAAGGGGTCACCAGTTTATAGCATGGGCCTCATCTGTAGAAGAAATGAAACCATAACCTGAAGAGCAACGACTGTGACTTCGGTAGCCCTTGTTACTGAAAATCAACCAGACCCATGTGTGGTTATTTTGTCGTGCTGAGTAATGCAACCAAAACCAAAAAGCAAGGTTCAAAAAGTACCATCCTGATGAAGATAACGGGAAAAAACTGAACTGAAAACATCTTTCCGTTCTGGTGATGGGATCATTTGGATTAAAAAATGGACTGCATAAGGACAGGTTCTCACTTCCAGCTAGTTAACTCTTCTTGTTCCCTATATAGATTCCTCTTTGTATGCTGATAGGATTTGCATCTTTCTCTACAAAATAGCATGTATATATAGGATAGATGTATCAAAACGTATATCAACGTCTGTCTTTTTAGCTTTCTCTTATAGTAATGGCAACCTCGGCGATTCCAAGTTTTTCTCGTATTATCCATTTGCTTAATGCGCAATGATGTAGCTTTCCCCACACCTGGATCTCAGCCAACTACAACTGTGTGAGTGTGTATGTGTGTGTGCATGTGTGTTTTTCGGCTCAGTGATACTCACTGCTTGTGATGGTGCATGGAGAAGAGGCCTGGCAAGAGCAGACAGTATGCCATGCCCTTGAGATCTAAGCGGTTGGCAAGTGAAGTGGCAGGTATCTCAGGTACAATGGATCAAGCACCGTCTGAGTGGGAAATGATTTTGCTAGTCCCTGGTTAGTGCTTGGGGTGCAGGTCCACAACACAAAACGGCCACACATAATTAGCACAGCTTGGCATCCATCTCTGTCGAGGGAAAGGTCAGGGCTCACTTAGCATGGAATCTGAATTACCCTTCACCCAAGAGGAATAGGTTCTCTCTGGTTAGGTTAAGGTCACTGGTAGGGCTCCATACATTGCTACCTTCATAAAAAGAGATTGAAAATCCATCTATCAGACATGTATAAACACAATTTATTCTGCTTCTTTCCCTTCACATAAAAACTTCTGCTCAGGTGCATAAAGTTAGTCCAAGGTCAGCCATGCTTATCATCAAGGCACAGGGATGTTTGTTCAGTCTATCCAAAATATACCTCAAATCCCAGAAATAATCCAGGCATAATAAGTAAGCGCCAGGTTTTGCTGTATGGGTAATTTCAGTGAGTCAGGTTTTCCTCCGGTTGACGTACTAGTAATTCTACTAAAGTCAGTGGAAATACACCAGTCTGAAGCTGTGTAAATCAATTTGTCTCTGATTCTCTTCTCAAGTCCAGGGAGCACATCCTCAGCTGAACAGATCCTCATCTTCACTGTTACATTTCCAGTGAAGTCAATTAATCATTTTATGTTGATAAGCTGAATAACTGGGCGCTACAAATTGTTGACCTAGTTTGGATACAGGAAATATGAACTAATTAGCTGTGTTATTCTGTTAAGCAGAAGGCAGGGCAGTGTAGGACCTTATAAACTAACTTATACAGAGAGACATGAGCTTTCATAGGCTACAGCCTACTTCTTCAGAATGGACTTGCATAGAGATGGAGAACTAGATAGAAAGGCCAAGGTGGACCTTGGTCTTTCCATTAGTCTAGATGGACATATGCATTAATGCTATACCAGCTCCCTTCATCATGTCAGTCAGGGCTCATATTGAATTATTTATTTACCCAACTCATTAGATCCCTTTTGAAAGCTAGGTACTAGTGCTCTGGTGGTCTGGTTTAAGGTTTCTTTTCCACAAAGTATTGTGTGGTTGCTGATATGCAATGGCATCCTCATGTTAAACTAAGACATACAAGTGTCTTCTCTGAGGGACTGCTACCACCACCGCTGCTGTTAACAATTGGTTCATCTAGACCACTTAGTGTCTGAGCATGTCCAGACATTCACTCTTACAGGAGAAATTATCCTGGAATTGATTTTATCCTGGTTTTTCCCACGTTATTTTCCTCCTGGAGCAGCCATTTTTACTTGGTGATAAAGATGCTTATAGTTATAGTTTTTCCTGGGAGAGCAGCGACTCTCCCAGGAGAACCTTAATGTCTGTATGCTGGCTTATTTTGCTCCAAATCACCAGTCCAAGGTTTTATTGCCTTATACTTTTATTGTTTAAAAACCAGATAATAGAAATAACCTAAAATGAAACAGCAAAAGTAAATCAGATGAAGAAAACATGGAAAGAAAAGGCCTATTTTCCCATTTAAAAGGCAAATTCTTGAAGTGTCTAGTTCCCCTCCATGTACATGTTTGACTCTCATTGACTTCAGTGACCAGTTCAGAATTTGCACTGAGACTGAGCAAAAGAGAGAGCCCCTCATTCTGCTCCTGTGGAGGAGAGGAAATTGTGCTTTACTGTATTGTTTACCCTTGCCCTTTCTTTAATTTACCCTTTGTTTGATATATCAGCAGAAACCATTTATCTGCCTCAATGATCAAATAAGCTGGCTGGTAAAACAATGGACATGTGATTCACTGGGAGTGGAAGAATGGTAATATAAAGGTAGGCTGTGAGGATAAAGTTTAAAAATTCAGTAATGTGTGATTTGCTACCTCAAGCTCGCCACAGTGCCTAAGGGAAAATATTGTTTTTTCATACGAAGTAGAAAAGAGAAATATGGGTTATCCTTTAGTACCACTGCCGTGAAAGGGATTCCAGCACTGAAAGCTGATACCATATTACTTAAAAGAACCATATCCAATTCAAGCTGAGATATTTTTGTTTCTTCAACCAAGATAACAGGTAATGAACTCAGTGATCAGTATCTGGTTTTCTTGGAGCAGGGGGAGATAATTTGAAAAGGCGGGTTGCCTGGGTGAGAAATAAGCAATTTTAGATCCAGGCATTGAGGGCAAAGTCATGTCACCTGAAAGTTGAAATTTCTGTCTTCTGCAGCCACTGATTTGAAGTCAATGAAAATCATCCCATTAGAGTTCAATGGGTTTTTGGATTCATAGGAACATGAGTCACACTTCTGGCTTCTCAGAAAGCTTCCTTGTAGACAAATTACTCCAATAATTGCAGCTTTAAACACACAGTGATATGAGTTATCAAATTCACTGAAACCAGTAGAGACAGATAAGTTTGTCCAACCAAGGACCAATGTCCAGGCCCAAATCCATTATGGAGGTTATTACAAAGTTTAGAAATTTAGCCAGCATGTGGATTCTACAGATTCATGAGTAAGTTTGAAAAATAATCAATGTAGAGGCAATTTAGGTTGCATTTTCATGCATGTTCTGTTTTTCCCTTTTCTGGGCCTTTATTAAAAGAATCATTTGTAGGAAAAGATCTATTATCTTCCAAGGTATCATTTAAGAAAATGCTTCTTCTAAGGAAAAGATTCAGTGGGCGCATCTACACAAGATGCTTAATGACCATTGGACTAATCCACTGTATTAGCATGGTTTTTGCCAGCCACTAATATGCAGTAGAATTAGTCCAATGGCAATTAAGCGTCGCAAAAAATGCATTCATCACTAATGCTCAGTAGTGCTGATTATGGTACATTAAGTTAGTACCTGTTACTACAGGTACTAAACTTAATGTGCTATAATTACGATGCATTAATGAACGTGTAGACACACCCAGAATCACTAATGTCAGGTAAAAGACTTCCATTACAATGGGCTTTGGACATGGAGGGCAGTGGGGAGCAGTAAGTTTTGTTGCTAAAGAAAGTACTTTTGTTAAGAACCAGTTGAAACCATATATTTGGTAATTTTTCAATAATAATCCAATAAGGCATTTTGTTGGTGACAACAATACAAGAACTCTGTTAGGGTGGTCTCCATGTAGGCATCTCATAGACCTTTACAGAGTAGAAGATGGTTTATTCTCTTCTTTTTTTCTTCAGATAAGAAAAGCTGAGACAAAAAAAAGGCTAAATGACTTATACAGCTACCCATCAAGACAATGAAAGAATCAAGAGCTGCACCTAGTTTTCCTGACTCCCAAAGCAGCACTCACGTAATGGATCACATTGCCAATTTAATTGACTTTTGGTCAGCTAGTTGGAGTGGTCCTGCCTCTGAAGATTTTTATTAGTTACTGGAACGGTTTGTGTAAAGAATGGGGCCCCAGAATTCGAATTCTATCCAATATTCCTCATTTTTTTTATTTGAACTTGATCCCTGGAGGAAGATGAGAAGCCAAACAATTCTGGAAGCCAGGATCATCACAAATGAGTTGACGGATGTGATTGTGAAAAATGCAAAGCAAAATTCTTCCTGTTCTTCCAGATCTATGATCCCTCTTTTAAACATGTCACTTGGAGTTCTTTGAATGGGGTAAGGGCAGATCTGTGTTATGTGATCAACTGGAAAACAGAAGAATGGAGAACTTTACTTTGTTTGGCCTGGATTGCATCTACAAGTTAAAATAACTAAAAAACCCTTCCAGTCTTATACCTCTATGAAACTCCATGACGTTTGTACTTTAATCCTGAATTAACCAAATTAAGAACAGGAAAGCGTAACGCTGCTACATGCCTTCTGAGGACCAGCCTTCATTTTTCCAGAGCATCTCATTTAACCACAGGAATATTTTTTTCCCTATAAAGTTGTATTTAAATATTTATTTTAAAATAGTGAAGTGCCTTCATATAAAGACACGGAAAGTCGTTTTAGTTGGCAGGCCTAAGATCAAATAAAATATCTAAATGTGGTTTAGATATTGACATTTATTATTTTTATGAGAAAAAATGCACCCTAAAAGAGGAACTCAAAATATTTGATTATTTTTGAGGACTGGATCCTGGGTCAGGAACTGGTGGAGGTGTCTCTTGTTTTCCGAGAAAGAAAGGCTTGAAAGATGAGGTAGATAAGTCTTTGTAAGTATTTTGTGTATGCATCAGAATAGATATATCTACTGTCTTATATATTAGATCTATTAATTATATAATTGTTTTAGCATTCTAATTGCCATCCATTATGTTAGATATAGTGATCCAAAGCCTGCCAGGCTCATAACCTGACAACCCCATAGAAATCTGTTGCTCATTTTTTAGTGAAACTGGGATTCTGCTCAGTTCTACGATCTTTTCAGTAGTGAATCAATTCTGGAATGGCACGTGTCTGTGAACAAGAAAAATGACATGGAGCACCAATCCTGGCAACATAGGAAAATCACTGAAATAAGTTTAGCACTGCAAAGAGGACTTAGCGAGAACGACTAACTCTAATGGCACTCCCTCTTTCTGCTTCACCATCCATCTTTCTGCTACAGTCTTAAAGAAATAGTACGTACAGCTTCTTGTGAGCCAAGAATATGCTGCAAAGCCTTGCAGTCACCAGGAACAAACCTCCCTAATGTGATGTCACTTCATATGCTACTAGCTAATTGATTTCTCACGAGTTACAGTTGTACCTCAAAACCGAGTTTGTTTTTTCGCGTTTTGAAATTCCATAACACGTAATAACCCTACAATATTTGCAAAGGTACTGGAAAAAATTCTGTTCTCATTTGCATCTGTGCAGCCCATAAATAACAACTTGATTTCTTCATTGGCTTCAATCTTGATACCACTTACTACAAAGAAGGATCATAGGTGGGGATGGTCCTGCTTTGAGCAGGGGGTTGGACTAGAAGTGACCTCCTGAGGTCCCTTCACACCTGAATTTTTTATGATTCTATGATCATTTCCTAATGATGATTTTTTTGTCCTTCTTAAAGGCAAAGCTTCCCATGGATTTTTTGTTGATGCTTCCTGCACTTTGTAACACAGAGCATAACTTTGTCCTGATTTCTACTTGCTGTGATACTAATAACTGCTGCAACACAGTGAAGTGAAAAAGAAACTCAGCTGGTTTTATAAGAGTTCATTCTTTTTATTTAGGTCTGTTAAGATGTGTGAGTTGTGTCTGTTCCAGGTCTACTCAGATGTGTAATGTCACTGAGAGTTTGGTTTGGACAGTAAAGTTTGCACCAAGGTCTTTAAGAGGGAACTGTGCCTCCCCTTTGAAATGTATATTAATTTAAAAAAAAGATAAATTATCCAAAGCACCTTAGTGACTTAAGGACCTAAATCCAAAGGGAAGTCAAAAAGACTTAGGATACCTAAATCACTTAGACATTTACAAAATTTTACTTGACCTATCCTCAGAACTATTGCAGTTCATCATTTTGCAATAGCCTGTCTAATATATCATTCTCTTCATTAAAAATACATGGAAACAAGTTGTTATGTGATCCCCTTCCCCTGCTCCATTGAAATCAGGGGTGAGGGACAGAAATGACACCTAAACTGGTATAAGTGATTTGAAACCACTTCAAATCTGTACTACAACAGAAGTTCAGTGCACATAAACCACTTCCAAATGGCTAAAACCAGTTTAAGGTAAACCTGGGTGGATATAGTATCAGACTTAACTGATTTAGGTTAAATTGATCTACTGAACTTCTGTCCCAGATCCCTTCCAGATTCAAGTTAAGGCTCTCTAGACTGAAGTTAACTCACAGTCCCCCAGCATCCCAGGATGCTTTGCACCTCCCCCACAAACCCCACCCCAATGGGTGGGCAGGTTAGCCTTGGCTTAAATTCCACTGAGTAGGTTGGCATACTCTACCGCCCCCCTGCTTCTGGCCTGGGCCACTGCAGGCAGGTGGCTACATTTCTGGAATCAAAAGCAAATGTCTGTTCACTGGCTCATTGGTTCAATCTACACAGCTTACACTAACCTGCCAAGTTTGAATCGATTCAGCCACAGGCTTTTTGACTGTCAGTACTTAGCCAGGATGTGAAGTCTTATCCACAATTCAAGCTTTCAGGCTTTTTTCTTCTGACACCTGTTGACAAAGAGTGACACTTAAGTGTTTGCAGAGAGGCATGAGCTTTTTCTTGCCAATGCTATGACAAGACTGGCCCTTTCTCTTAGCTGGTATAAATATTGATTGACTATGCTAGTTTTATCCCAACAGTGTAGCTCTGACTGACTACAGTTTTTTTTTTTAACTGCCCCAATTGTCAATTAGGCTCCACCCTTCTGAAGAGCTTGAAGAGCCACAGCAGCATATTTCTGAAACAGGGTTATGTTTCTAATTCGTTCTGCCTGGTGATTAAATGTTGCTGGTTATGTTTTAAATCATTTACTCCAATAAATGTGACAGCCCATATGGCATAGTGGTAGTGTCCATGATGAGACATAAATTAGATTGTAGGGGGTTTGGCTTGTAGCTATGTCAGAAGTAGGCTGGAAATCAACCTGAACTAACTACCATAGCTTCATTAAAAGCTTGAAAATGCTGTCCTTGTATGTTAAAACATGTTGCATTTCAAAGTTCAGATAGAAAGGAGATTCATAGTGTTAATCCTGCAGGACTGCAGACTCCTAACAACTCTGTAGGAGTCTTCATTCTGGAGGAGACTTATTCTGTCCGGGCTTTCTACATAAATTTTGTCTGCGTCTTTGGGTGACATTAGGAGTATTGGTCTAACAAGCTGGTTTCAGTATGACAGACGATCAAGCAGGAGGCCTGAAAAGTATCAGAGAAAAGCTATTTATGTCATTTAAAAGAACATTCTTTGTTTTGCCTGCTATTTAATTATGTAGAAATTAACTTCAGAAGTGAAACATGGCACCTCAGAATTCAAATGGTATCTTTTTTTTAAACATATTTATCTCTGTGTATGTGTTAGCATAGTTGTAAGCTCCCTTTGCAATATCACACATGGTTAGTGCAAACTATGCAGCTCAATGGTATATCTAATGCACCATTCAAGGGAGACAAATTTATTTATTCATATTTAAAGTTACAGGTGTATAAATGAGGAGGCAGTTGTAATTCCAAATAGTGTTTAGTCTCTTCTAAGTAGTGCCGTTGTCTCAAATTAATTTGGTTTATTGATCTCTGGAGGAATTTTGGTAATATGAAAATAAAATAACTAGCTAAAGTAGTGATGCACTATATGGTTTCTTTTAGTCCTGCATATATAGCCATCAATAAGAACCTCTCAAGGGCTTTTGGAATGCAAAATCTGGGTCTGTATACATTGTTTATGAGCGTGTATATTGTTTATCTTTGTATTAGCATCTCTTATATCCAAGACCACTGAAGTACTTAGTTTTACAGTTTTAAATTGTGAAAGAGATTTCTTTAGAAAATTTGACCAAATTCAGTCACTGGGGTTTTTTTTGTTTTTTGTTTTTTACTGATCCTAAACTTGTGGTAAAAGAAGGATAAGGAGGAAAAAAGCCTGTTCTAAAATGCACAGACCTTTTGAATTTGAGCTTAACAGAATTGAATATCTGTAAAACTCCAGACATACCAGGCACTCACTTAAAATTCAACAGCATGTTGTCACTTCCATGATGAAACGGAAACCTGAGCCTGATGGTTGTACTTCACAGGAGAGGCCACCAAATCAAATGCTAACAATGTCTGACACGCAAAGCAAACACAGCTTCCCACGTGTTTGTTGCAACAAGTGGGGCTCCAAGCCTGGAAGAGGGTTCTGCGCATTGGAAAACTCTAAGCAACGTGCCGTGGCTATGATTAATGAAGAAGTTGACTTGGAACAGTCCAGCTCAGAGGGAGGTGGCAACCCAAGGAATTTATCATAGAAAGCTGTAAAACAGGACGTTAAAACAGACATTGGGTTAAAATATACAACTGAAAAAAAAAGTTAATTTGTTTTCATCTGCTGGTTACATTCCAAAAGGTGAAGTTTGTTTTTTCCTTTTGAACCTGCCCTGGAGAGGAGACACGCACCATATGCCACCAGTGGCCCTTATACAGAGAACTCTAACAAGATGTTTGCCAGAGTTTTGTACTGTGTTCATCAAGCCCTTCCTCCCAGCCCCATTTCAGGCTGGTTAGTTGAAATTAACTTTGGACTGGAGAAAAAAGGCGCTGTATGAATAGGCCTTAAAAATGAAACGGTCATCAATTCACCCAGCTGGGAAGGCACGTGGAAAACTATATGATGGCTACAGCAGCTTGCATGGGTTGGGTTATGGTGTTGTGAGTTGTAGTTGACTTGGTTGGATTTGTATTTGATAACCCCCTTCTACCCCAATGCATGGAGGCCACAGCAACATATCTGCTTCTTCGTACATGTATATATTTCCAGACCAGAAAGCACCACTGTGATAATATAGCATGACCTCCTGTATAACACAGGACAGAATTTCATTTACTGATTTCTACAATGAAGGAAAATCGTCAGTGCCCTGTAAGTGAATGGTGATCCCAGTAAATTGGGCTTGAACTACAGCACTACATGCATGCTATATGCTATTGGTTATAGAAGCCAAAGCCATTTTTAATCTCTCAAGGTCCTTAGCATTGTTGAAAATCCAGAAGCTCCAGGAATTCAGCCTTTCAGCTGTTGGCAGAGATGCAGTCAAACTTGTCAAAGGCTGACTACTTGTAAAGGGAGCCAAATTTAATCAGGACAATAATGCAAAGCATAGCATAGACTTAAGCAGCAAGGTTCAGTCTGTCATTTTCTATTAGTCAATACATAAAATAGAATAACTTCCCTATGCCACTCTGTGCTTGTCAAACATGCCCTGATCGTATCCTTCCACTACAAATAAAACTTCATATTGTGTCCGTTGCTGAGACAACGTTACAAGAAGACACCCCTCCCCATTATCTTCCTTCCTCGTTGTTTTAGTTTAGACAAATAAAAAGTTCCATTTGTCCAGTTTGTAGCTCAGTCTTCCGGGTTCTGTCAATAGTTAAATCATCCATGATTAAATTTGCTGGTCCACTGCAAAGTAGTGAATTTCCATATCCAAACTGAAAGAGCAGTCCATATTGCTAATTTATCTGTTGCTTTCCACCTTTGCAAAGTAAACATGAAATGTTGCTTTCCTGACTTGAAAGCTTTTTAAACTTGTTTATTCCAGCAAGAAGATGACATGAGGCACAAGCCAATGCAAACCGGCACATCCAGACACCTAACTCGTTGAGGCTGGGTTTCAGTCTACAACTTGGGAAGAACTAGATTAGGGTCAGTGTCATGTTTGCTGTTTGTGACCCCCTGAGTGGGGATCTTGAGATGCCATCCACTGACATTGTGTCCAGTCCTAGACTGTGATTGGTTAGTGAGAATTTCATCATTGTGAAGATGCATAAACTTTCCTGTCTTACCATCAGTCAGTGTTTGCTGAGGCTCTTATCTCCTCCATGCTCTGAAAAAAGAGTAGAAAGGCACCATATAAGTCTCTGAATTCTGGACACCGTGTTTCCTTTTTTTGTAAGGCTTGGTCCAAGACTCCATGAAATGACTTCAGTGGTTTTAGATCAGGTGCCTGTTACGAAACGAAGATCTGCACTGTTGGTCAAGAAGCCAATGCCTAATCTGAAACACGTTCTTTAAAAAAAAAAAAAAAAAAA